AAAGACCAGTAAAATTAATACTTCCTGCATCGGCTAGAATGTGGAGAGGTAATAATTATAACTAGTTTGAAATACCAGTGAGGATCATTAACTGAGATACACAGTGAATAGCACAGAAAGGTGCACTCTCTAACTTAGCTCCCTTTCCTAGGTTTTGACTTTTAAGTGGAACAAAGAAAGGGAAAAGAAGATAACTGCAAAGAGAAGTTTATAAAGAAGACTTCTAAAGACTTCATGAGATGATTAAGAAAAAATATCACAGAAAATAGAATTAGATAAAGAGAAGAGGGAAGAGAGCAAGGGCATTGGGTTACTCGGGATAGAATTAACTGATCTGTAATCCTTAAACTCAAGAAGTATGCTTAGTGCCCTTGGAGGAGATTAATGGATATAATGGAGTATAGAAGTATAATGTTTTCCAGGATACTTCAACCGAGTTGGGTTTCTACCCCTGAAAAAGGACTGTAACATACAGAGTGAGTTTTGGGGTGGGTGTAAATTAGAAGGAAGTCTGCCATTGGCCACTGATACTGTCAAGATCTGACCTGAAGTTTTTAAAACCCAATGAGTGTTAATATATTAATTTCTTGAAATTGTATTTAATACTTATTCACTTATACATCGTAATCACCAAGCTGAAAACTTTTCTGTCATAATGGAAAAATAATGGCTCATTCAACCCATCAGGTGAACAGACGTAAAAGTACTTTATATTTCACATAGCACTTGGTCTTCTGTAATAGGCAGGCAGGCATGAGTTGAATTTAAACAAAAGGTTTTTACCATGGCTTCAAGGTAATAGGGAAACACATAGAAAAAGTAATCTCCACAGTAATCAGAGCTTGGCAAATCAATACTCACTTATAAACAAATAGGCTATCAATTTCTATTAGTACTCTACCACTATAACCACTGGAGGCCTTCAGGAATAATGAGAAAATATGTCAGTAATGCAGAATGTAGCCCTGAGACAGTTGTTAATCAGATCTTCTTAAAAGTTACTTAAGACCATGAAATTTGGAGTTCTTCAGTATTCCCTACAAAGGGCACCACTGGATTCATAAACTTCTTTTCAGGAATAAAAATAAAAAGCTTCAATTTAAGACTTATTTTTACTGTACCAGTCACTGCTATTCTTATAATGCCTACAGTAAAATGAAAAAAGATTTCATAATTAAGGATGAGAAAGAAATCAGCTTCAAGTGGCTGATGACAAGTAAATCTTTTAAAAACAAGGTGACAAGTCTGATCCTTCAAATTAATCTCTTCCTACAATCTACACAGAAGAGATGAATGACTTGTGTCCTAGACTAATAAAATAGTAAAAGTCAGTAAATTCTGGACCTGGGCAACTTCTCTGAGCTTCTGCTCAAAGCTAGTGCTACCACTTGAGCCACAGAACCACTTTCAGCTTTTTTGAGTAGTTTATTGGAGGTAAGAGTTTCACGGACTTGCCTGCCCAGGCTGGCTTTGAACCATGATCATCAGATCTCCGCCTCCTGAGTAGGTAGGATTACAGGCACGAGCCACCAGTGCCCAGCTTAACAAACATTTTTAAAACACCACTATGAGCCATGCTCCAGGCTTGGTGCAGGAATACAGAAGAGAAGATGACATGAGGAACTGAGAGTCTTTCAAGGGAGCCCAGGGGTCTGTCTGGTAGTCTGATGGGGAACCAATAATTAAATATGTGGCATGGTGCAGAAAGCTGGTAGTCATTTTCTAGCTCTATGTCAGGTAAGATACATCAAGCTTTCTCTATGTTACTTTATATAATCTCATCTAAACCCCACAGTTATCCTTAAGGTATTGTCAGTCCCAGTTTACATAGATGAAGAGAGGTACATTGCTTGACACAGATGCTTAAGATGAAGCAACTTGCCCAAGACAGAGAAATAGTTCAACCAATATTCAAATTTATATCTATCATATTTTATTCAACTTATCCATACTTTTTAAAAATATTTATATTTAAATTTTAATTAATTTAGTGACCAGATATTTTCACTACTGATTTTTAATAGTGAATTATATCTGCAAAGCAAATTAATTAGTGAAAAGCATCTCATAAATGTTTTATTCCTAATCTAATTTTGGTGCCATCTATTTGTCTCTCATATGTCACTTAAAAATCTTAAATAACAATATTAGTGAAAAAATAATAATGCCTCCCATCCTGCTGTATTATTGTATCATTCTGCCATCACACTTTCTTTCATTCAACACTAATGAAATGTTGGTAACATATTACAAACATACAATGGATGATATTCAAGCACACTAAATTTCACATGATATTGAGAATGACAAATACTTGTAGTTATTGCCCATTATCTCTTGAGGTTAGTGGGAAGTAAGAGAGTTTGAAAGAGAAAAGCCATGTTTAATGTACTTAAAGGGATGAACAGACATATATTAAAGAAAAAAACAAGTATTTAGGAAAATGGCATATAGCTTATTAGTATTATCAAACTTGGGAATAATATATCATCAGTCTTCTTTTAAGAAAGAATTAAAGCATGACAAAGGAAAATGTATTTTATCTTTTCTAAACTTGTAAGTAATTGATAAATCTTTAGTAAAAATAAATATTATTTAATCTTTTTTTAACTAGAAGGAAATTTAATGTCATCAAGAACAAGGTGGTACAGACCTGTAATTTCAGCTGTCTGAGAGGTAGAGGTAGGGTTTAAGCTCTACAACATTGAGATAAGATATCCTAAGGTTTTTCTGCTATAAGAAGGTATCTTGGATGACAGACACTGATAACCAAAGGTAGCAGCCTCAGAATAGAGCAGGAACTAGAATTTACCTGAGCAGTTTTGCTAAGTACTGGAGGTAAGATGTTGGATAAGCTAGATATGGAAACTTCTTACATCAGGGAATGTAGACAAGTTGACAACTAGTTATAGCCAAGAATGATATTCAGTGCTGAAGAAATGCAGATTTCTAGGAACCCACAGGAGAATTTTGGTAAAAGTTTGTCGGGGGAAAATGTCATCCTGAGACTTAAAAGATGAAAAGGATAGTAAAGGAAAGTAATGAATGTGTTCCGCCCTGCAAAAGACAAAAAGATGGAGCTTTAGAGACTTTTAAATGTGTGGGAGAGATGATATAAGATGTTAATGATTCCAGATCATTCAAGGTCATTTAAAATAAATTAAGTATTTAGACTTTCTCTTTAAAACCCTGAAGTAGTATGGAGGTTCCTTAAAAGACTCCACATAGAGCTCCCTATGACCCAGCAATCCCACTTTTGGGCATTTACCTGAATGATCACAAACAATACTAAAGCTACCAGCACAACTATGTTTATTGCAGCATTATTTATTTATCATAGCTAAGATATGGAACCAACCCAGATGCCCCTCAGTAGATGAATGGATCAAGAAAATGTGGGATATATACACAATGGAATTCTATGCCTCCATCAGTAAGAATGACATTGCCCCATTTGTTAGGAAATGGAAAGACTTGGAAAAAATTATATTGAGTGAAGTAAGCCAGGCCCAAAGAAACATAGGTCCCATAGTTTCTCTTATTTGCAATAACTAGTATATGTCTGAGACAAGCAGAAAAGGTCAGATAAGTTGACTTTAGGTGAAATGAACCCCAAGATAAGGATTTCAAATGTTTTTTTTTTCTTTCTTGCTATTGTTTTTAATATATTTATAAGATATTTCTTTGTTGCTTAGTATGTCCCTCTCCCATGGTATAACCCCTGTTTTCACTGTATTTGATGTTAGTATAATTTGTGGAGGGGAAGGGAAAAAAACAATTGTTTAAATAGGGATACAGGTGTATCCATTGCATCAATGAGATGTACAAGATGTTATGTCGAAAAACGAACTTTACAACTTTGGTGCCGGGGTGGGGGTGTGAGGGGTGGGGGGCGGTGGGATGGGAAGGGATGGGAAGAGGAAACAAAGGAGGAGGCAGCAATGCTTGATAAGAAATGTACTCATTACCTTGCTCATGCAATTGTAACCCCTCTGAACAGTATTTTCACAATATAAATAAATAAATCCCTGAAGAACTATTAAAGGATACTAAGCAGATTTATTGTTTTTATTAATTTTTATTTTCTGAGCTGGTCCTCAGGCTTGAACTCAGGGCCTGGGTGCTTCCCTTGAGTTTGCTCAAGGCTAGCAACCTACCACCTGAGCCATAGCTCCACTTACCACTTTTGGGTAGTTAACTGAGGATAAGAATCTCAGGGACTACCTTGTCTTGCTGTTTTCCAGCTGTGATTCTCAGATCTTAGCTGTCTGAGTAGCTAAAATTACTGGCCAGAGCCACAGGCACTCAGTGTAGAATTCACATCTTAAAGATCATTGAAGCAAAATGTAGAACGAGTTCTTGAGTAGCCTTTCATAGGTGCCTTAAGAGGTACATTACCTATCTAATTCCATACCATACTGACATAGCACCAGAGTGACTTTTCTCATTGAAGTGTTAGTGTATATGGCCTTGATTATTAGAACGAAAATTTTAGTCCTAAGTGTTGTTCAAAGTCATTTATCACAAGATCATAGACTTTTGCACCCCATGATTTTACAAACCTGAAGACAACTCCAAGAAGCTCATCAAGGCTGGGAGCAGGTAGCACACACCAGTAATCCTAGCTACTTTGGCGTCTGAGTCTGAGGACCATGATTTGAATCCAGCCCAGGCAGGAAAGTCTGTGGCATTCTTATCTCCAATTGACCACCAAAACAGCTAGGAGTAGAGCTTTGGCTCAAGTGGTACAGGGCTAGCTCAGAGATACTGCCAAAGGTGCTGAGTTCAAACCGCAAGATTGGCAAACAGACTCATGAAAAGAAGCCAAGGCTGTAAAGCATAGGTGCCAAAGTGGTAGTGTCCCAACCAAGCCCACTTGACTCATTAATATTGGTACTTCTTCCATGTCAGAAGGGTCTCAGAGAGACTCAAATTGTACCAAAGAATGAGGAAAGACTGTGTTTCAAGTGGCCAATGTCCTGATTCTCTTTTTGTTTTAGGAACCTTTCACAACCTTCTTCCTCAATGCCAACGATGGAAAATTTGACCATCCAGATCGAACCTTCTCATCCATTGCCAGGTCTTGGAGAACTAGTCAGAGAGATACTTCTGATGTAAAGGTAAGCATTTTTATTTGTTGCTATTAATTAAATTTGAAAACTCTGTAGAAGTTTTGATTTTTTTAGTTAAATTTAAGTGGGTGCATTAGACATTTTGTTCCAATCATGTACTCCCTCTAATCTTAAAGGAAATAATTCTAAGCATCATAAAAATGTAATTCGGGATTCTTTCAGTTAAAGCATTCTCTTTGTTATTTCAGACAATTCCTACCTAATTTAAATGGAATAATCAGGAGATGGAAAGAAAAGCTCATAAATTGCCTCTCCTGCTGTTCACTCAATATTTGGCCTATTCCATAAAACACAGCGGGAATTGGATTTGACCTTAATGTGTCATACTGTTATAGCTTGCCCGGCTTTGGGTTTGTGTAGCCCGGGGCAATTAATAAAGCATTAATGACAAGACCCATTTAAAATGTAGGCTTTTCTGTACAGCCTTAGCTTTTACTTGACTGTGCCTGGGGATACTATGCAACAATACACATTAGATTAAACCAACACATACACATACACAATATTCAGGAACTGCCAGAAAGCAGAGTGATTTTACAGTTGGTACTACTTAAGTATTGTTAAACACAAAGATTTGTTACTCATTTACACAGGCTCTTGTTTTCAGAAAAATGTAAAGATTTTATTAAAAAAATAAAATGTGTTGAAATGTATTCAATGCATGAAGGAAAAAATGCATTTTTAAATTTTTGCTTTATGTAAGAATACATGATCAGGTTATTGCAAAGGAAAAGGATATTTTCTTATTAAAGCCTCTTTTTCTTCATGGCAAGCTTTTCCTATTGCAGTCACTCAGTATAAAGATATATTATTCTTCCGCTTTAGATCTTAATCTAACAACAGGCAATGGGTTAAAGTCAATTTTTGAAATATTCATATATTCACTTACCTATGGTAAAAAAAAATTTACACAGCACAATTACTTTGTTACCAAGCTCAAAAGTATATTGAATACCTGCAATTTCTTTTTAGTTCTTTTTCAAAGCAGAACACAAAGGAAATGGAACTGACTGTAGTACATCTGTATGTGTTGTTTGTGTTGCTTTCAAATGTTATATGATTACTAATTTATATATACAACTTGTTCACATTTAGAAAAAAAGATAGCATCTCTACTTAATCTCTGGTGACCCATCTTTTCTTCTAATAGACATAACTTATATGAGGAATTAACTGTAAAATTATCCATAAGCCTTTATTTTAAACTGATTTCTCTGCTTCCTAAGTCGTATCACTTTGAGAATAACACAGAATAAAGAAGTCCACAAAATTTCACTGATCAATATCATGAACTGGCACACTTATATAAAAGCACTCAGTAAATATTTTGTATGTGCGTTAATCATTCTTATCAATAATTGAAGATTTTCAGTTACATTTATGATTACTTATATCTGAAGAGAGGAATATCATCTCGTTATATCACATTATTGCAAATGAAAATGCCAACTTACTGTTACTTAACATCAGCAAGAAAGAAGATTGGCTTTTCAAGTAAATTCAAACTGGTTCTCATGTATCCATGATCAGGTCATTTTATTTATTTATTTATTTATGTAAATATAGTTCTTGTTTCTCCCCACCCCCTTCTAGAACTTTATCAGTGTTTAGACCACCAGATACTTCATCAAGTTACCTTTCAGTCTCTGGTGACCAACAACCCCCTTATCAGGCTTTTCCCTCTAAATCCTCCCAGCTGTTTTCCTGCTCAGAACCAATTCAGCAACATTCACATTTTGTTACTAATTGTTCTTCTGGGCTCCTGGAGTCATATCATTAAGGAAAAGACCAATGTGGCTATCACTAACTTGAGAGGCTTTTTTGTTTTCCGTCCTCAGGCAATCATACAGAATAAACACCCCCGCCCCACTCAGTCTTAATTGGTTCATAAGGAGCTCATTTCCCTGGCTTGACATTACACAGATTGCTCTCATTTTCAGTTCCCTCTACCACCAACCCAACCTCTCATATTGTATGATAATATATCGTGAATATCTCGCATGTGGACCTAGCCTTTTCTTTTTAAAGGGTGCGTGCCACACACATATACAAGAGTTAGCTTATTCAGTTGATAAAGGTTGTCTTTCTGACACTGTTAAGCTGCATTAAATACCCTTATAGCGGCGTCTCTGTGACGTTTTTTGTGTGTGTGCAAAGGATGATTTCTCTTAGTGAGATCAGTGGCTCAATGACCATGTACATTTTATAAATTTTTTAAAATATTGCCAAATCTCATTCTTAAAGTTGGTAATTTCCCCTATAGCAATAGGCAAGCTGCCTCTTTCTAAATTCCACATCATTAATTGTTGTTAAAAGCAGTGATGATTTGGTGAGTGAAAACTGGAGTAGCCTTTGTTTGGGTTTGTATTTCTTTGAGTAATGGTCAACATTTTTTGTACATTTATTCACCTGTAAAATAACACATATTTTTCCCACTTTTCAGTTGGGTTTTGAATCTTTAGTGATCTGAAAACAATATTAGATATTATAGAAAGTTGCATTACAAGTGTGATTTCTCAGTTTTTCAGTTTTAGGGGTGTGTGTGTGTGTGTGTGTGTGTGCGTGTGTGTGTGTGTGTGTGTGTATGCATATGCATGTATGTCCAACCAAATATATATTCATCTTTCCTTCACATACATACATGATATCTCTATATGTATGATGTGTAAAACATGATGCATGTATAAAATATATTTTATGTATATAACCGCTATTATTCTAAAATAATTACCAATTTATCAGAAAAGACTATATTATTAAGAATGTTAATCATTTACTGTGGGTGAAAACCTTAAGTTTTTATTTCTTATCCCCAAACTGTAACTCAGCATTCTATATATTTTTTAAGAAAATGTGTTTTCATTTCCAGAGAAGAAAAGCATCTCTGCAGTATCTTCTGAGATAATCTTGGTAGGGAGAAAACTAGATGCTTTCATTCTGTCTCTCTCTATTAATGTCAGTCTCTTCCTGTGCTAATGAACGCAAGCTGGGGAAGAAGGACTGTTCTGAAGTGACCCCTTAGCAGAGAGGTCTCTGGAGTTGAGACAAACCAGTTAGTTTGTATTTGATTTTTATTTTCTCTTGAATTTCTTTCTAGCTTAGTCCTCCTAGTGAGGACATCCACCTTACCAGAGTTCTTCTACTAATTTTCCTTAATGCCTTCAAAAGTTGTTATATTACTTTTTGAATAGCTATGTAGATGTCAGGAAAGGTAGCTGTGACAAAATGTCATTAAGGTGACATAGTGTAAATTAATGCAGTTAATGGAGGTGCTTGCCAGTGACTCAGTGACCCATTATGCGCTCTGGTGGAATTAACGAATGCCCAGGCATCAATCTTTTGGGGGGAAAAAAGGAATCAGGGTAGAGCTGGCAGCTTTAAAACCTTGCAGTGAATTATATTAGAAAAGTGAAAACGTCTGGGTTGGATTTGATTTCACTAGGAAGCCATAAAGTGGTACCCTTTCTCGACAAAATATATTAAACTGAAATGTCAGATTTGATGCAATAGGTATACAATTATGATAGTGTTAATAGTGGTCTTCTATCATTCTAAGACATACTTTCAAGTCCAATTTCTCTGCAGCTTGAACTTGTCATAAGCTTATAAATTAGAAATTGTGTTTGAAGATATTTTCTTATTTTGACAGAATGCATATAATGCTATTAACTGTACCAAAGGGTTTTACTATGGCTGTTAAAACTAGAAATCACATTTGCAGGCACAAAATGCCTGTTGCAATATTCATTTTTACCATTTTTAAATAATATTATCTTCTCATACTGTTTGTTGTTTCGGAAATTTTAAACTACTTGGCCTTTTTCCTTAAAGAGAAGCTGATTAACAGCAGTTTATCAATGGGAGAAAAGTAGGCATAGCAGCAGTTTCCATAAGTAGGCAAACTATTATCTAATGTGCTTCCATATAAGTACACTACAAGTTGTGGTCATTGACCCCATTCTTTTTTTAAAAATAAGGTTTAGTTTTAAATAGGACTTGTTTGTTGCTTATATGATACAACCTACAAAACAGGTCCTATTTGGTAGAAGTGGTACCTAGGTATTAAGTGCTGCATAGATTACACATAGGCAGGTAAAGAAGAAGCCAGAACCATCAGTGAATCCATTCAGTGATGTCAGTGCTTTCTCCATTAGATGGCCTGTTGCCCATTGCATGATCATCTTCTCAGAACCTGCCACTGTGACTATTTGGAATTGTACATTCAAGTCATACTCGGATTCTTCATTGCTGAGAAACTACCCTCAAACTTGGTGGCTTAAAAACACAATAATGACCATTAAAGAACCACAGTTCTGCAATTGGTCTTATCAGATACACATATTTTGATCACACAGTGGCCCTTCTGGATCTGGTGGATTCAAATAACTCCATTGACATGTCTGATGGCTTAGCAAGGTTGGAGGAAAGAATGTACCTCTAGCTGATTCTTTCTATCTTTCTAGCAAGATAACTCTACTTTTTCATCATAGCTGGCTACCAAGAGGATCCAAAATGGGAGCTAAAAAGCCACTTAATTCCCAGGCCCTGAAGTAGAGACTAAGAGAGAAGACAATAGACTCCACTTCCTAGTAAAATGGATGGCAAAGTCATATATTAAAAGGACATGGATACTGGGAAGGATTGTTGTAGGCACCTTTGGAAACAATGTACCACGATCCTCACTCCAGTCATAATCCCACATACCTCCTACATTCAAAATGTGCCGAATTTGTTGCATACAAATCTCATCTCCTACTGTCTCAGTCAAAGTCTTGTGACTTATGATCTGCACAGAACCACATGCTAATATTGTACAGCATTCCCTAATTCAGAGATGTAGGAACTATAAAGACAGATATCTGTCCTGTGTTCACTCAGCTTACTGTGTGTCAAGAACAGGTAAATCTCAGCAGACATCATTTGAAAAGAAGAGAGTGGGTAGGTGGATAGCAATTGCTGGTTCATAGTAATTCTGAAATCCAGCTGGG